GTATATATATAAACTACCATAAAAATCAGAAAAACTATGATTTCTTAAAAATGCATGAATGAGTCAAAGCAACACTCTGGTATGTTTTTGATGAGGGAATGACATTGTAACATGATAAAAAGCTAAAAAAAAAAGGAGATATAACCTAATTTCCCCCTTTAAATATGTAAATATGTCCTTTCGGTAGGGTTCTCCTCTCTGCACGATGAAAAACGATGTCTGGATGCAGGAAAATTAGGAATACGGAAAGTGAGTCAAAGACGCTCCTAAAACAAGGTAGAAGGTTGCAAAAATGTGCAAAACTGCCAGTAGAGCATTCCTGGGGCTTTCCAACATTATATGTGTTTAATGACATAATTACTGTAAAGAAACACAGAGACACTCAGAGGTTTGGTAGAACATAGAGGCTTATTTGTTAAATAGCTGATGTCATGAGTTGTTGCACATCAACAGTGTTTCAGCTGCAGTGTAGGGGACTTTCATRTTTCTGGTCATCATACGGAGCTATTTATGTCATTGCACACTTTAGGAACCAGCACACGGGATTTGTTCTGAATTGATATGGTGATCTAACATGTTCTCCACCCATGCACATGAGATAACAGAGGAAAATTTACAGTTAGTGTTTTTGAAGTGGCCATCAGAATAAAGGCGTGTTTAATACCTTTGAGCATCTTCACGGCCACCGTCCTGCAGCTGGAACCGTTGCTGATACCGAACGCCGCCGCCTGCATCACTTTACCAAAAGCTCCACGACCGAGAAGTTTCCCTGTAAGACAGAGAGCGTGTGAGAGTGGGAACGGCACGGAAACAAGAGGTGCGTCGATTAATTATGATTCACATCCATTCCAGATGGGAGCAGCTGATAGCGCAGGACTTTCAGACTTCATCACTTGTCCATCTAAGTGAATCCCGCCCAGATGATAGTGGGAGCTGATTGCTTCCAGTAAACACGACTTAAATACACCCCAGCTGATTAGCTCAACAGCAGACAACACAGACACAAAGTCTGATTAATGGAATGAGAGTCACTCCCAATAATAATCAGATAAGACCTATGAGAAAATCCTTCTATCAGTAATGTGATCTTAAACACCTTCCTCCTCCGTCCTCTACTGAAATCTAAAAATCTTAGCTCACAACAACCATAAAACACATAGAAATGTATTATTTTTATGACTTAAAGAATCATACCTAGTTTCAGGCGTTCCCGAGGGAACTCCCACTGGTTGGGGTCATACTGCAGTCGCTCACACTGCTCCTCGATTGGCCCCTCTCCTGTGTCCAGAATGATTGACAGGTACTCCGGTTTGGAGWTGGAAACGTTGGACTTTGTGGGGAGGAAACAGAAAGTATTGTAASAATCAGATGGACACAAAACACATCAAAATCTAATTTGAAATCAAGGAGGAGGCTGCTGCAAAAACTTCTTTCTYTTTGCAGGAGTTTAACATCATCAATTATCATGTGATCACTGGGAAACTGAAACGAGAAAAGGCTCGTCTGGACAGGCATTGATAATTAGCTTAGGATGTATGAGAGAAGCTAATGCTAAACCTCTGTCCATATATAAATAAAAAATAAATATATATAAATTCAGCAGAGACATTTGCTTTTGCAGATATTATAAATTTTCTTATGTATGTTTAATTAATAGAGGCTGCTAATTAAATTCTTTAGGTTTGACACCATATTGGCTYAGATTCTGTTAAATAAACATCACTGCGAGTATAGTACTATATATCATGTTATGTTGTGTACTACTTTAAAGAGCTTTCAAGATGGTCAAATGATTTTTATTAAGCCGTGATACACAAACCCCTTAATTGTTACCATAAACGCATTCACAAAAATGGTGGTTTTAAATGATTAAAAGCAGCAGAAATTATGATGCAATGTAGTGTCCAGTGATGACATCATGTTATTTTGTTCTTGTTTTTAATTTGTTTTTGGTTTTCTTCTCTCAAGAATGGAAATTGTTCAAGTTTAAGTTGTTGTTTGTTAGAAGTTGCTTTTTTAAGAAGGGGTAGATATTAAAATATTTTTTCTTTTTTTTCCTATACCTGTAAGAAAATTCATGTTCAATAAACTGAAGTCGATATTAAAACC